TACCATTTCAAGGGGTACCTGCAGCATTGAAGTAATTGTAGTATTATAGGCCTATTAGTAGTTATAGTTGAGGTATTTAGAACTATTATTAGGGACCAAGCCAGTATCAACTGGAAAGTCCCTATTGTTTTTGCTCGAATTATTATTATTATTATTATTTTTCATAACTTTAACTGCATTTTTAGTTGCACTACCCATTATGCAACTGGATAGTCTCCCATTTAAATCCAGATCTTCAGTTTATAGCGCATGCTTTCTGCTATAAATCTTCAGCCTCCAAACACAAGCAAAGACAAGTCTCATCAGGGTTTCTTTACTAGACTTTAGAAATTTCCCCAGGGCCATAGAAGACATTATACAGTGGAGTACCAGTTAAATATTTGCATACAGCAGAGTAGAAGTTGTGTGACCTTGGTATGAATCATAACCTACCTCTATCTGGGAGCTGTTGTCCGTGTCCTCTGCAGACAGTAGGCCTGGGAATCCCTCAGTCTCCTCCTGCGCAGGGTCCTGGTCCTGCTCCTGACTGGCCCTGTTACTGTCCATGTTACGAGGTTTCGGGGGAAGCCATCTCCTCCACCGGTGACTGTACAGCTTTACGTCTACTGCTGCGTCCTCATCTCCCGCCTGCCCTTGCACGTATGAGTAAGAGACCCCTGGGGAGACCGGAAAACAGACAGTGTGAGTAACAAAAGAGAACATCAGTGTAAAATCACCTTAAGGTAGTAATTTCATATTGTTAGGTCACCACAAATATACTTATATGCAGTGTATTGCAAATTGACGGGTCGTATAAGCAAAATAATCACATAGGAAAACAATATTTTTACTCTCACTATAGTCAAATCACAGAGGCGGGGACCGTTCAAGCCATTAATCTTGTGAGGCTCCCTCATAACTCTCTTTTCTTTTCTCATAGCTCTGGGGAGAAATTTCACTGCCTGAAACAGATGCACATTAGGAATGACTCAGCAGCCATCACACAGACCAGTGGGCCACAGTCAGACAAAAACACCCCCATCCCTGTGTCTGAAATGAGACGCTGGTGACAGGTGAAAAATGGTACTGTGTTAATATGACTGGATTAACCGAGCCTGAGACAGACTGCTGAAATCGGTTACGTTATAAGAAACAGTTTCCTGAATTAAAATTAGTCACAATGATGAAGAAAAAGGCATCAAACAGAATATCAAATGTTCATCTTAAAGAGATGTAAATAAAGAAAAACTTTGCTGTTTTGAATCACAATTCAACAATCTAAGCTAAACAGCTCAGTCTAGAGCTGCTTTAACACCTGCCGTAACCATGTTTTGTTTTAATTGATGTAAAAGCTGTACACAAAGCTGGATCACACAACCTGACAAAGACCCTCTGAAAAGCTGTCTCTGGACAACCCTCTGAAAAGGTGGGTATAACTTGTGTCCTAGTCTGTGTATTTTAGCAGATCCTCATTAAAAAGTGAGAATGTAGAAACCACACAGCAACCAATCCTGTTGTAGTATTATGGTAAACAAAAATGCCTAATTTTAGTCCTGTTTCTACCTGTTTGTCATTATTCTTTACATTTGAGATCTAGTTGCAATATCTGCTAATAATGCTCATAATCAGTTATATCAGGTAAATCAGAGACGAAAAAACAAACACATAAGACAATGCAGGATGACATTAGCGTTCGACTGATATGGGTCTTTCAATTAAAGTCATATAAGTCGTATAATTCTGTTCTATTCTACAGGAAATTCAGGCAACAGGAAGTATACAGGGCTCGAAACCACCTTCTAAAATCTCACAAGGAAGAGCGCTTACATTTCTTCCACTGCAGCCACATTGACAGGATTACCTGCCGATGTGTCTGAAGACATTTTCTGTTTATCAGCCTCGTGAGCACAGACATCAACCAATGCAGATTTTCTCTAGATGACATTCACGAAAACTTTCCCCTCAATAAACTAGAAGGTTTCATAGAATTTGGGCCAGTAGTTTTGATGTAATCCCGCTGACAGACAAAAAAACAAGCAGCTTTTACACCTCTTGGTTTGTTGGTAACAAGCCAGTATGAACCTGAAACAGACCAAAACTTTAAAAAAATGAACAAATCAACCAAACCTCTTTATAACCACCTCTCTGCAACAGATTTATCACATCACATTTATTTAAGTGGGTTATCTATTTCCTCACTGTCCCTACTAGTGCAATAAATATATATGATAAACTTTAAACCTGACAAACACTGCATATTCTCCGCTTCACGTGTGGAAACTGAGGCGCTAAGTCGCCTGGTAGGCTATGAAGTGGAGAGCCGAGCAGAGATGGCCTGTGTTGGTCCTGTGATGGACTGCAGGCTTGTTTCCCTTCCTTCAGGCTAATGTTCAGCATGCTTGGATAAGCTCCTGCTCCCCATGACCCTAATAGGATTAAGCGGTTAAAGACAATTAGTAATAAACTGTATTTTCATAGCACTCATCCAAACAAAGTTTACACAGTGCTTTCATGCTGTTGCAGCTACAAATAGTTTTGACTTTAGGCTAGAAAATACTGCTGATTCCTCTACTATTACTCTATGTTGCCTCTTTTTTATGAGACAGAGGTCGCTGGGTTTAACTAGCAGAGCGCGTTTTCCTCTCCTTTCCCCTCTGCCACTTTTCTCTCACGCTCACATTTCTTTCCCCTTGTCGTTGCCTCCTCTCTCCTCTCTCTCCTCTCTCCGGGCCTCCGAACAGTGGCTCTCAGGAGAGGAGGAGAGAGGTGGTGAAAGCAAGTGGAGGCGCTTCAGATGCTAATTCACCCAAAGTGGAAGCTGACAGATTCACTTTATAATGAGCAAAGCAAGAAGCAAAGAGACCAATCTGCTCTTTGAGGTGGGTGTTGATGTACACTGGAAGAATTAAACTGAGCAGAAGGCACCCAGTACGGGATAGGGCTGAGTGCAGCTAATTGTTTTTGGAGCCAAAGAACAATTAAAAGTTAATCTCTCACCTTCAATCAGTGATGTTAAACACAACAAACTAAGCAAGAAATCCTGGTGTAATTATGAAGATCCACTTAAAGACAAATTACAAAATCAGCCACTACAAACTAAATAAAAAATGTAAAGACTTTTTTTCTCAGCAAGGCTTAGAAAAACCTGCTCAGTGGCTTTTATCCTTAGTGGACTCGACTATTGTGATGGAGCCTTTACGTCAAAACTAAACACAAAGAGGCTTTGCAGTGTGCCACTGCCTTTTATAAAATTAAATTAGAGAGTATTCATTCATGTCTTGCACTACACTGTACCTGCACTGTCGTTTTTATTCTCCTGTTTAATCTGTTTAATTCAATTTCAGCATATTTTGTCTATTTTATATCTTTTATATCTTTTCTAAATGACTTATGCGTTATGTAAAGCATGTTATATTACAAATAATTTGCCTTTCCTTACAACTAGATCCTTCTTTTATAATGTAAGGCCCTGAAAGCCTATTCTTACAATCAGCTCTTTGATTCCACATGAACACATCTTTATATTATCTGCCAAAGTTATATAAGAGCTTGTATTTATGCTGTGTTCCCTGTTCTGTGTGGGTGGTAGGGCTGCATGATATGGTAAAAACGTCATATTGTGATTATTTTGACAGACATTACAATTGTGATATGTTTCACAATTTGTGTAGGAATTATAACTTTTGAATCACAAATTACATTTTCACTGAAAAAACATTTAAAATCATGATGATTGGAAGATTTGTAGGCATTTTCAGAACTAAAGTACTTCAATATAATGGTGTTTTACACATTTGATCTTTATCTAAAAACTGCACTTGGCCATATTGTGATTTCGATAATATTTGCTTTTTGAAACGTGATAAATGCGTTGGCTCTTTTTTGCATCCTAATTTAACAAACTATAACAGGATGAATCAATAAAATGATAAAAGCCACAACTCGATGACATAGGGTTGTTTCTTTGGTGCCACATGCCTTTATGCTAGCTTTAAATTTGATTAAAGTAATGCCTCCTGATTCAAAACCAAATTTTCAAATAGTTAAGAATAAGGTATTATAGGTACATTGATGAGTTCTTTATGCTTATCTCATAAAGCTTCACAGACAGTAAAACTGCAATGAAAACACAGTTTACAAACATAAAAGAATAAAATTAATTCATGAAAGCCCTAACTTCTAAGAGATGCTGAGTCACAGCACACAATGTTTGTGCCATGTCAATTACCAGTTGTCAGCTATAGTTGCTCATAATTGGCAACTTGCAGCAAAACAAAAATACAGAAACTGTATTCTGCTTCCTTAGCGCCAAAATAATGAGTGAAAGAGAAGGGTGCGTGACATGATATAAAAACTTTCTTTGATCATGAATATGTTACTCTACCATTCTGTGGTTTATCAGTAAAGTGTATGAACCACACAGCAGACTGGAGACACCTGAGGCTGGCTACTGGAGTGATCAATCTCCATACGGCCTCATATTTAAACGACTATCTTTACAGCAGAAATATCCATGTTTCCAGGTTTTGGTTTATAGCTAAATTCCCTGTTCTTGACAACTACACAGGGGGTGAATTTTCATACAACTCAAATGTATAAATTATATCCAGGATGAAGCAATGGCTAGATGCCACTATATCCTACACACTGGGCTGTTTACCTGTGTTTTACTCACATTATAGCCTACGTGCGGTAATGCCACCCTTAATACAGCTAATGGTCAAAAATTCCTGAGGGTAGCTGGGTAACCCATAGATATGGCAGTCTCTGCAGAATCAACATCTCTTTCTATGTGCACCATCTTGTTATTTGGTGTCTGCAGCAGCTCTCCTGGCCAACTATTCGCTCGCTTGTCTCATTCTCACCATACCACTAATACCTCCTGACACTCACTCTATCCCTAATGGTCATTAGTCACACCCATGTGGGCAAAACTAGCTCAGGCAAACTTCCTGTCAACAGCAGTTATATACTCTAATCCAAGAGGCACCTAAACATTTATTTTCATCCATTTAATGGATCTTTGTCAGTTCCTCAATATACGATGGAAAGCTGGCAAACAGCGGATGCTTTAAAATACACCATGACCACAACATAGGGGCCTTGAATAAATGGCTTCTCTTTTCCCAGCATGTCCCTCTGTGAACAGCCATGATGAGTCACCCTTCAAAGGAACACTTTCACCTGCATTTCTCCTGAGAACACCACCCCTGATTCAGTGGCTGCAGATTCTCTTATTATCCAGGGAGAACTCAGGGTCTTTTGTCAATCATTTGGGAGGGCACGGAGGGCAGAACTCTGTGGGACACCTTAAATAACCGCCCAGCAGGACAAGGCTTCTCCTTAGTACGAGACTTTTCCTCGGCTTTTGTGTGAAAGGAAATCTTTCCACTCTGCTTTTCTTTCAGTGCGTCTGAAAGCCCCCGCATACCTTCACCCTGACTCTGTTGAGCCGCCTTGTTGGCCGGACTCACGCCTGTCAACACCTCTGATTCACAAACACCGGAGGGACTGTAATTTGGTTCCACCTAAAACCTTTCAAGGACGTTTAGGAGGTCGTAAAAACCGCAGAATAAAGGTGCTGTCTGCACCCCTTCTTTCATTCAGTTTCTGCTTGTTTTCCCCTCTTTTCTCTCAGTTGCCACCTGACTCAGTGTTGCTGACAGGAGACTGCCAC